GGGAGAGAGAGAGAGAGAGAGAGAGAGAGAGAGAGAGAGAGAGAGAGAGAGAGAGAGAGAGAGAGAGAGAACATGAATTGTTTGTTGTAATTAAATAAATATAGTATAAACTATGGTCTCCTGCTATTTTAAACAGCTTAATAAAATTATCGTTTTTTATTCTAAGAATATTTCTTCTTTCGTGTTAATTAAATATTATTATATGTATAATATTAAATTTTAATTACCGTTAAAGACCTTTATATTTACGTTATTGATTTTCTCTGCCGCTGTAACACGCATGTTACCCGAGACAAAATATAATTTTCCAAATTCGAAATGTAAAGTTAGCGATACATACAATTTTAGAGCGTATATGCGGCGGGAGAAAGGATAAAAAAAATTTTGGCGATTACTGTCAAAACTGTCAGATTGTAGCTGAATATTGAAATTACAAAAGAACAATATCCTGCAAAACAAAATGAAAGCTGAAGCGGTAAAATAAAGCAAAAGGACGTGGGGATGCAATTGAAATAAAATCCAATCAAATTTTCCGCATTCGATGTATAAAGAGACGCATATATCACCGAAGGCATCGACATTTTTGCATCGAAACATTTCGCATCGTACAATTTTATATAATAGCTCACAAAAGACAAACTTTGCGTTCGATGCAATTACATAAAGCAGAGAAGATGCATGATGAAATGAGATGCAAAAATGTGGACAGTATAATATTTCCTGGGAACGGATAAAATCCATTGTGAAATAATACGTGATATTTTAACATACGTAAGCGCACATCAAAGATTAATAATGATGCAGCTCGCGTGGGGCGAGTTTACAAAGATACCTTCTCAATGTGGCGACTACCATAAATATTTCTAAATATTCGAGATACGTCATTACGCCCGTTAAATTATATATTCATAAAGATACATTTTATGCGCTCATAAAGTTAGGATTACGCAAATTAGGGATTGGGATAAGATATCCTTGGATTAATGGAGATCTCGCATCGGTAATTAAATTATAATCATCGCACACACTCGCGGCAGATGGCATGATACAGATTACGTAAAAGCGATGAAAAATACGCCAACGTGAGCGCTGCCCTTCAGGCGAGCCCTAGACGTTAGATTAAAACGCATAAAATTCACCCTCGTCGTTCCGTCGCTCGCGTGGGTGCTCCGGTGCCCCGTGTAGACGGAGTGTCCTAGAAATTGCAAATTATGTACCGTAGACATTTTGGCGCATTTGCAATCTTTTCTTTGCGAGCGATCGATATTCCAAGTTATACAATATTCTGCCAGCCAAAGGGGTCTCGCAATCTAGATTTGGAAATCTCACTTTCTCCGAGATTGTCGGAGCTATTTTTCAAGCGCTCACAATTCCACGGTACTGCAATTGCATTAGAAGCGTACGTGGCAAGCGTGATCCAGAAGTACGCGCGCAGCTCACGAGACACCCCGTATACACTTACGCATCGCACGGCTCGATGGAGGGCGCAAACTCGTGTTTGTGCTGCGTATTCAAAGTTTGCTCCGCAACTCGAGAATTTGATTCAAAGTCGCGCGGGCGGAAAGAATGTACACTCACCGCTCCGGTTACGCTACGATCCGCATTATCTCCGCTCTAGCGGAGGGTTGGAAGCGACGTCTCAATGTCGCACGCACGTACACGCGTCGTCATTATATACCTACACGCGCGTCCGCGAACGCGAAAATACGTATCGTCGTCCGCCCTTTGATGTGCGTCGACATCGCTGCGCTCCAAAGCGCGAATAGGAGCGCGCGAGTGGCAAGGAGCCGAGTACTTTTCACGAAGGCAATGCCGGGCGCGCATCTGCAAATGGAATGTCTTTTGACGCGCTTCTTTTCACGCTTTTACGTCGCCGGTGTGCACTCACGGCCGCTTTACATTCCTACGCGAAAACCGTACGCAATCCGGAAAGCAACGTATCGATACGCCCGTCGCCGCTGAGCCGGAGCTCTACGCTGCGCAAAGAGGAGAAAAGAAGCGAGTAACGCGGTTACGCGAGAAAATGAATGAAAAAGCGAGCGAGACGCGACACGCGGCGAGAGGAAACGCGAAGCCGCCAAAGTGCCGAGAAGGAAAGCGCGTTTCCAGTGACGTCAATGCGGCTTAATTAACCGCGGAATAACGAAAATTATTAAATCGAGCGGCAGTGCAGCAGACGGCGCGGATACGGTGATAATCGTCGTTACTTGGCGCGGACAGGTATAAGTGAATTAATCAGAGGATAAGAGACGGGGACAAGCGAGGATCAATTTAGCCTAATGCAATCCGAATACACTGTAAGGAGACCTAGCAAATTAACATGCTCTTGCTGTGTTGCACATCAGTAAAATTAACTGGAAAAGGAAGACGCGAGGGTGAAACCAATCAAGTTCGCGGGACAGGAAGGGTGGCAACACGCAATCGAGCTGTTAAAATATCTCAATGATCCAGCAATATTTTCTATGATGTACCATCACGTTCGCGAAACATCATAATGTCGTTTTAGTGCGCGTCCGCTAGTTACAGATTGTACGAACTTGCATGTACTAACTTTGTGGAATTTCTAAACATACGGTGCGCACAATAAAGTATCGAGAGTTCAACTACCATGCAAATTACCGCCAAATATTACTACGTGACACAATGCCGATCTAAAGAAGAAGCCATTGAGCGAACACGATCTTCTTCTGCCGTGCATCAATACACCCAGCAGCGAACTCTGACAAGGGGGCTGGCGGGAGGTAGAGGGTGACGAAAACTACTAAGTTCATGAAACAATCAGGCAGTCAGGGTGACAGCGAGCGCAGGCACGACGGCAGTCGTCGGCTTGAGGCGAGCAGGCAAGTTAGAATAGGCAGGCAAGAGAGAGAGAGAGAGAGAGAGATAGAGAGAGAGAGAGAGAGAGAGAGAGAGAGAGAGAGAGAGAGAGAGAGAGAGAGAGAGAGAGAGAGAGAGAGAGAGA